TTATTAGGCTCCTATATTTATGTTCAGTTATTTCACTTTAATGGCATAGAAAAGGACTTATACATTGCCATTAAAGTAAAATTACTGAACCTAAACATAAAAAATATGCAATATGAAAATAATTGAAGACAAAATGTGTTTTACTGAGAAAAAACAAGATTTGGTTTTTAAAAAGCCTTTTTCCAAAAGGTACATCTGGAAAAAGGGGGGGTCGTCTTATAATCAGGGTCGTCTTATATTCGGGCCAATACGGTACTTTTTTAAAAATGTGAATCTTCATGCAGCTCTTTTCCATACTGCAGTCCATAGTGACTATAAATAAATACATACATACATAAAACAAAATGTCAGAAATAATGACAAAGAAACGGCAAGTGACACTGAATATGTGAAATTTTAAAGTAGAAAGTTTGAAATAGTTTTTTCTTTTTGTCAAACGTCTTTGTTTTATTTGCAACTTCTGAAAATCTATTTATACAGTGCATACAGCAAGACCTAAAATATCAAATAACGCTTTGTGGTGACAAAAAGAGACACCAATGGACCAGTCTGTCAAAAATAAAATTCACTGCATTACCTATAAATGTACCAGACGGGGAAAATATACTCATGTAAGCTGACAAATGTAGCTGGAAGAAGTGCTATAGGAGAAGAGTCTGGTGGAACAGTTGTTTCAGCACCAAACACACTGTGACAGCAAGTTTGGTCTCTTTCTGCATGACTCAATGGAGCTAATTTGTTTACCTCATACGACAGACGTTAAGCCATTGTTATGCAATCAATCTGTCAATACGCTGGTTTCTTTTTACTTAAAGGGACAGTTCACCCAAAAACTAAAGTTCTGTCATGATTTATTCACCCTCACTTCATTCCAAACCTGCATGCTGTTTTTTTCTGTGAAACACAAAAGAAGAATTTTTGAAGAATCTTCATGCAGCTATTTTCCATATGGCAGCCTATGATGATTTAAAAATAAATAAATAAACTCGAGATGCGCCAATATTAAAATTCAGTTTGATACTGATAAGCCATTAATTCCTTTTAATAATTCAAGTTATGGTCGATAATCGATAAATAGCTGATATTTTAAATACAATACTATGTTGTCTAAAAATATATATTACATAATATAAATAAACCCTATAAACAAAACATTAAACAAACAAGGGATGCACTAATATTTACATGTTTTGTTATGACCAATAATTGATACATGGCTGATACAAAAATTCAATACTATTTTGTTCTAAATAAATAAATCCCTTACAAACTCCCTTTTATGTTATGAACAATAATCAACAAATGGCTGATATTAAAATTCAATACTAATTTGTCAAAAAGTACATTACATACTAAAAGCAAAACATATCGATAAAACATCATATAAATAAATTAATAGTTTAAATGTAACAAATGAAGTCGGTGCTAGATGATCTAAATGTAAAACTAGTCAGAAAGAAGGACATGCACCATTAAATATCCAAATATTGACCAATATATAGCCAATATGGGCTGAAACAACATAAAAAATAAAAATTATATAAAAAAGTAATATTTGGCTGTTGATATCACTGTTTTTTGTTTTTACTTTATTTTATTTTATCATGCATATATTGGTCATACATCCCTAAAACATTCCCTTATTTCTTAAAGTACTTAAAATATTAATAATAGGTCATTGAAAATGTATTTTACAGTAGATATGGAAGAATTAAAATATTTTATTTAGTAGTGTAATAAAGGAGAAGTATTTGGTTGAACTGTTATTTCAAAATCAGCCAGAAATAAATAAAACTGAGCTCGCTTGGCTATTATAACAAAAGCTTCAAGTAACTGGAAACGGAAACTGTTTCCTTCATGATTTTTATTTTTTATTTTTTGTAAATAACCAATATTTTTGCGAGTTTGTAAAGACGTGGTCACTACGTAAGCGCTGCAAAATCTCTCCTGTCCTTTTCCACAGACAAAAGAAAGTCACATGGGTTTGGAACAACATATAATGACTGAATTCTGTGCCTTAAATTCAGTTAAAAGGCCCAGTCGTATCAGTTTTGACAGTCACATTTCAGGCCAAGGGCCAAGTTTGCTGATGCCAACGTACTTGCAAGCGGTCAATATCTTCTCCGATCTTTTTTAAAACACAGAAACCATGTATGATCAGCTCTGCCGCCACGTGCCCGAGGGCCTTGTGACGCACCACGCGCTGCAAACTCACCCGAAACAAACAAACGGCAGACACAAGGGAGAATTTGCATGAATCACATGCATGTCACGCTGACAAACTTAGCATCCTCACGCAGCGCCAAGTGAGCCTGCGCTCTTATCTTTAATGCTGGATTCCTCACAGACGCCTGCAGTGTTTTTAGGGGGTTGGGGAAGCGCGGTTGTTTTGTGGGGATAAAAATAGTGTTGTAGATCAGAATGTTGAGGAGAAAAGGGCCTCGTGCAGATTAAACCGCAGTTAATCGCCTGTCTGCGACGCCGAATGCCATTGTGTGTTAGGTGAACTTCAACGAGGAGGTCTGAAGATCTTCCAAGCAAAGCCGCTCTTGGTTTTGGCTTTGTTTTGGAAGGATGTTTACACTTCATCCTCTTTATTCCTTCTTAAGTCATTCATCAGGTTTTTTGGCCTCCTCATTTCCTCAGCCAGAGAGGCTATTTGTTTTCCTATAATCTCGCTTTGAGGGAATATCAGTTTGAGTTGACAGGGGGACTTAATCAAAGAACCAAAACTAATGTGCTTTGGTGCAGATTTGTCCACACTTTAATGGCAACAATTACATCACCACGTCTTATTTTGTAATAGACATTTCGTAGGAACCGAATAAATGCAAAACGTCAGTTTCTTTGCAACTTCGAAGGACTTCTTTTGAAGGACATCTCAGAGTAATGTTCTTCAATAAGCGATAAGGACAAGCTACGAGCACGTCCCTGTACACCCTATTAATATCCAAAGTTAACTTCAAAGCTAGTTTGTACAGCGAGGCAAAAGAACAGCAACAAAGATCTCTATTCAGTGATTCGGAGAAGAAGAATTAGCTGCTCACATGCCAAACAGTTTAGCAGAGAAAATGCCATGAGCACAATGAGCTTTTTATTCTACATTACAAGTTCAGCTGGAGCAGTCAAGCTTTTACTTCATTTCTAGGTGATGGAGAATCATTTAAATAACTGATCGACTCTATTATTCCACAAATGCCTTCATAGTATTTGCAAATACATTATATAATGCAGTAACAGTTATTCATAACTATATGCGTAACATATCAGTAGATCCTCCTTTTACATTCAAATATTATATATACACTGTAAAAATAATTTTTGAAGTTGTAAGTTAAACAAACTACATTGTTGTATACAATAATGTATTACAATTTTTTTCTACTTCAAAATTTCATGTTTAATTATACGTATTTCTTTGTAGTTATTTGTGAAATTTAATAAGTGAAAGTGATTGTTTCAAAGTAAATCAAACAGCAATTTTTCTCAGAGTAGTACCATTTTATATTATATCAAAAATATGAATATATAAAATTTTTAATAAATAGTTTTTTAAACAATATATAGCTAGATAGATGATAGATAGACAGACAGACAGACAGACAGACAGACAGATAAACAGATAGATAGATAGATAGATAGATAGATAGATTTGACTATATGTGCAAGTGGTCTAGTTATTCTGAAAATATTTGACAGAAATTGACAGAAGAATAAAAACTTGACAGAATAATAATAATAATAATAAAGTTAAATTAGAGGGTGATGGAGTGAAGAAAGGTTTGATTATGGAGTCAAATTAGTTCCAAACAGCCAATGCACTCTCCTGGATGAGTTCAATTACAAAGATGCTCAGTCATTCAGTCACTGGCCCGAGCAAATTAGTATTTGCACTAATTGCAGGGGTTCGGCTCCCGGTCAACCTAATCAATTAGAGCATCCGAAATCAAATCACATGTCCAGAAGGAGTGATCACCCAGACCTCTGGCATCTATCTATGAACTTAAGTCCAGACCCAAACATATGTCATCCAAACCCCAACCTGTTGAAAAAACCAGCATATGCTGGTTAGGTATGTTTTGACGCTCAGCAAAGGACCAGCTAAAACCAGCAAAGGACCAGCTAAAACCAGCAAAGGACCAGCTAAAACCAGCAAAGGACCAGCTAAAACCAGCAAAGGACCAGCTAAAACCAGCAAAGGACCAGTTTAAACCAGCAAAGGACCAGCATAAACCAGCAAAGGACCAGCTTAAACCAGCATCCCAGCGTCAAAACATACTTAACCAGCATATGCTGGTTTTTTCAACAGGGCACACGTTTATAAAGTATTCAGCTGAACCAACAAAGATTGATGTAGACGCTTTAATTATAAAGAACTTTTTCGGTTCTGTATTAAACCTTTAAAGAAACTAGAAACCAATATGTTGATATGCATAAACAACTTATAGGCTACAAACAGCCTTATACAACCAAAACGTTGCGTCATAACCTTACAGTGCTGCAAAGAACCAATAAACAATCTTCAGTTTGAGTGAGATTTGAATCCTAAATCACTAGCCAGGGTTGGGTTGGTTCAGCTCTTACTTTGCATTGGCTTAATCAGATTAACTAGGTTAGCAATCTAAATTTACAAGTCATTTTGGTCTCGTAATCTCTACGGACGGTAAATGTTGCGCGTTATGCTAATTTAAACAGTAGGTTCAAACAGCTGCGAGGTAAACTGCTCCATAAAACGTTCATTAAGCTGTAAACTTCGCCATTCCGATTCATACTAGTTGTTTAAGTTGTATTAGTGGTGCTGAAACGGACCCGTACACAACGCGCTGAGCTTTTTTGCCATAACAACAGCAGCAGCGCTTTAATACGGGATAACAGCGCGATTCTGAACCATCTCTCACTTCTGACCGGAGCAGATTAACTGCGGATGCGATTACCAAAAGCTATACAAATACGATATGCATACAGAAAAAAAGATAGCTGGCACAATAATGCCGTTTTACCTGGTAATAATGAAGTTGAATGCGCTGATAACACGATGCGAATTTAGATGATAGCCTACACTATATATTCCTCGCTGATGTCCACATTGTCAGTGTCAGGGGCTTACTGTAAGAGAGAAAACCCCGATGTCAGAGAGAGAGAGAGAGAG